GTATAGCTCTAAATGTAGAGTTGGCATTGCAGTAAACTATTGTCTCCTCACCAATAATTATGACACCACCAAGAGGAGCTGGTACAGGTATTAACAGACCAGCACCATTGTCTAAATTGTTCTGCGACCAAGGACCCTCAACAAAGTCTTTGTCCTTCAATGCAACTTCATATGTCTTAACATGTCTTGCATCTTTGTTATCCTGGTAAAGCATGCAAATTAAATCAGATCTTTTACTATCTCACAATGGTCAAATAAAGATCTGAGAACCAGCAGATATTTTGAATAAATCAAAAGTAAATAAAGAACAGCATTCTACCAATCTCAATTCTCAATCCTGTGAAAACCAACAGTAACCTATTATGTAAAATGCCTACACTTAAGTCAAAATAAACACAGTGGATTATAGGTGTGTAACAGCAAGTAATCTTTGCACCACTTGAGCACAATAGCAAATCCAAAGTCCAGTGAAATGTAGATTGATTAATACAACTGTACACTAAAAAAATAATAGTATAACAATACATACAAAGAAAAGGCACCATGGCAATTGTTGTAGTTCAAAACTATCCCATTGGATTCAGACTTCAATTGCAGGGTACAAAAAATATAGTGAAGTTTGAGCAAACCTGGTAGAGGACAACTATAGTAGGTTTAACACAGCCATACAGGAACTTGATGTCCAATACTTGAAGTTCTTCAAGCCTGAAGAAAGAAAATGCAAGTGTTACTCTCTGGTAAGGTCAAATGTACGAATATGCATCATCCTTAATGAAATATTAACCCCCGAATGGTAATGTTATATTTAACAGAAGATGTAAAGCATAAAAATACATTCCAACCACAACACAGCTTTCAGTCTACCAGGAGAAATGTTAGGTTTTGTGTTAGCCAGCAAAGATGTAAACTATAGTAATAAATTTTCACCAATCATTTGGTTTTCCTTTTTCTAAGCAGATCAGGCAACACAGATACAAAAACAAAGAAAGCAAAAAAAGAGCTTGCTTCACTTTATGTACATTTTGGTTGTCTGAATGTCACCAACAAAAGCAAACTAGAGAAACGATAGGAAAGACCCTCCCACATTAAGCGCACAAAATGCTCCAACAATTTAGTTGCCGATTACTAGTGGCACATGTTTTTCCTGACTAAGTCACTACACAGATGTTTCCATCAACCAATATGTTCGATTATACGTTTTGCCATCCTGATACCTGATATTGAAAGCTTCCTTCAGCTGCCCTTTGTTATCAAACGGTATAACCTGGATGGCAAGGGTGTAAAAGCTTCTCTCAGTGGAGATGTAAAAAAAGCATGCTATCAAGGACAAATCCCATTTTATTTTATTTTTTAAAAAAGAAGGTGCACACTTACCTTAAATAATCCATCGTAGAGGTGAAGACCAATAAGTCTACAGTCAGGGTCGATGATCCCAATCTACATTATAGTAATTGGCCAAATATAAGAGGGCAAAAGAATGCATTCCTATATATATTGCATATAGATCTACATAGAAGGGGTAGTTTCACAATTTTTACAAGCCAACATTGGAGTTTCAATTCGGAAATACCACACACCTGTCCATTGTCCGTAGGGCGACCAATGCGATCAGAAACATCTCCCATCGCTCTACATATTGCAAATAGTACTTATCATTTATCAGTTAAAAGACTAATAGTTATTGAAATTTATCAGAGAGTAGCAATATTATTTTCTTCTATAAACAGACTGTGAGACCATGGTTATTGAGGCGTTTTACTCTGGATATCTTTCGCACTCTCAAAATTAGCTGTCATTGCATCTCCCTCCCCCATCTGCACTCTGTTGACCCTCTCATCAGCGTAGAGGCTCAATAGACACAGAGAGCAGTGACTCCGTAGACATAACATTGGCTTGGCAAGGATTAACTCTTGAAGTCTCAATCTTCCTTTATCAAGGAGCAGCTGGTGGCCATGAGGACCTTCCATGCTACACGGAATCAGCTAGACAACGACTGGATAGCATTGTGTGGGACTAGTGATCCATAATTTTACAGTACATTCAATTTGAACCATTTGACAAGCCAATGTTATGTCTATAAAAGGTTATAAAAGCAGTCTCATTGCTTTGTAAGCTAAAGAGAATAGTGCAAGTGACCAAACCTAGTGAGAAGCTCCGATTTTTCTCCATCCCACTGCAGAACACAGAATTTGTATCTTTCAGTCGCAATGAAAAGGAAGTCCTGAGTCTCATTCTGAAAGGCGTAAGATAAATAGTGTTAGTTTTACCATCCAGTGCACGGCAACAACAGAATGGCAAGTCGAGGAACAGTAAATTGGCTGACATGAGGGCGGAAGAGCTCTAGTGTGGCGATTCTTCCATAGATAGGTACATCAATCATAGGCTGCTTACAAAAGGGAAGAGGTTATGATGTTATTAGAGCAGCACATGACATAATCATTTGCAAGTAGTAGATAATAATAAATATCATGAACCACAGACCTGGAGGCCTTGAGGAGTAAGCAAGTGGATCTCGATACGGGTGCATTTCCTGGAAGATTTGCAGCACATGCGCAGAGTTAGTAAAGGAATGAATATGCAGAGAGCCAACAAGCAGGGAATCTAAGTTGAAGAACATATAGAAAGAGATGAAAGACAGTGAGTTTTAACAAAAGAAAGAAAACAAGGGCCCGTCAAATAATGTGTCATCCCACAGTGATTTAAACGAAGGGCGTGGAGGTGGCAGAGGAAAAAAGAGCGAGCAGCGTTGTAACCCTAGAACGATCCCGACCCCGAGGGGGAGGCGGGAGTGGGAGTGACGCAGCAAAACCCTAGATTTGGAGGGCGAGAGGGGGGAGGAAGGGGGGAATAGATTACGGACGCGACGATGAGGTTGAGCTGGTTGGGGCCGGTGAAGTTGCCGACGCAGGAGTGGGTGACGCTGGTGGGCTTGTGCGCCGTCACGACGTAGTTCCACACGCTCATCTCCGCCGCCACCGCCGCCGCCGCCGACGCTAGGGTGGGGGAAGGGGAGGATGGCGAGGGTTCTAGTCTTCTAGAAGGAGGGAGGGGGTGGTCTCTCCTGCACAGTCTAGAGCGCAACGCGAGGGGAACGCCCAGGGACCTATCCCTCCAATGTAGTACTACTGGAGTAGTTGTGTGGGCCTTGATCCATCACACTCCTTGTCACCAGCCCAGCCCAGCCCAGCCCAAACTCCAAGCAATCGTTCCCCCTGTTTGAGGAGCTTCGGACAGCTACAACCATCTTCGTCTTGTTCCAAGTCTCTCCAATTGCCTTCTCTTTTTTTTTGTTTTGGCTCAAGTCATAACCTATTCATTGCTGTTCTTTTCTTTTAATCTTTTAAGAGTAGAGTGCTTGAATCTCTTGTAAAAATTCAGTATCTTTTTCCTAGCTCTATAACTCTAATTCATTTTAGTTTTGGACCTCTGCGCCCTTCAGCTCGTGGCATGTTTCAAGAAACTAACTTTAGGGCTGTTCAGATTGATGCCATTTTCAACCATATTATTTTTTTTGCAAAGTTGCCACAAAAATGTCTACGTTTAGTTTATCGTCAAATTTGGTAAATACATAAGAAATCCTGCTAAAATTTTGGCAATATTGTCATCTTGCCAATATTTTGGCAAATATCAAAATTTGGTAAGGTTTATTTTGGCTATAATCTTAACATGCCCTTAGATTCTAAAAAGCATTTGATAGGGGTCTAACTGATTTCTAGTTCATTTTCTAGAATATGCACTATAACTTGTAGCTGATTGAAAATATAGAATAGTTTTAGAGTTTCTTTTTTTAAAAAAAAATTGAAGATGTTGTAAATGGCTAAATGCTATAAACTCTCTCGGATCTCACTACAGATTTTGAGGATCGGTAGCCATAGATTTGAAAATGTTAATCAAAAGTAGAAATTACACGCTTTCCTAATGAATAGCTAATATGGTCCCTAAAGTTTCGCTCATGGGTTATTTTAGTCCTTAATCTTTCATATTGTCCAAACAAGTTCTTTAAATTTGTCATGTGGGCTAATATAGTCCTTGGTCCCACCAAAATCGCCACGTGGACATGCCATGTCACCTTCCTATGCAAAATCTATATGATTTGTCCAATTTACCCTTATGCATAGGAAAATAAAAAACAAAAGGAAAAAGTTAAAAAAAATATATGGTATATGTAAGAGCAAACATATACCTCAAAAGGGTGAAAAAAGAAGTATTTTTTTCCTATAGTTATGTCTAATTCACCCTTATATTTATTTTTCTATGATATACGTAAGGATAAATTGGACAATTCATCATAGATTTTACATGAATGATGACATGGCATATCCATATGATGATTTTGGTTGACCCAAGGACTATTCTAGGCCTTATGACATAGGTTAAGGATTTCTTGGACCATTTAAAAGGTTAGGGACTAAACTGATCCTACAGAGAAACTTTAGGGACTAAAGTAGCTATTCTCCCTCCATATTTTCACTAGCTGGTTACTCATGATTTTCACCAATTACTCACCGGCCGGTAATTTGATCCCCAAACAGTGTCATTTGTTTTGGAAAACTGCTATACATACAACTTGTATGTAAGACTTGTGTCCGACCAACGTGGAAAGAAGCAGAGTCGGACGTATAGCACGATTCTTTGTTTTGAACACCTCTTTTATGATGTGTAGCGGGGGCTAATTAATCGTAGACATTTCGTTTTTTCAGCACAACCGGAGACTGTTATTAGCGTAGGAAAATGGCATTGGTCATTTGGAGCTTCTTCGTAGCAGTGCAAGTGAGTCGCAATCACCTGCTTTCTTTCTCACGTACGAGTCTACGACTACAAATCTGGGAATATCCACTGTGTTTTCTTTCTCACTTACTTAACCGAGTAGGAGCAGCATTCAGTTATGTAGCAGTAATGCCCCATTATGGCCGTCCACAATCTGACAGTCAAGAACTCGGCAGTTCAGAGCAACAGAAAGGGTAGTAAGCGACTAGCTAGGGAAAGCCATCCAGTTATGGTGACACAAATTTCTTTGCTCAAGAAACAAAGGCTATGTTATGTATGTATATGCCTCTTGTCTACTACAGTAAGAGGCAAAAAGGAATAGCTTCCCTGTTCAACAAACCAAGCAAACCACACTCTGAATTCGGTACATGATCACTTTCAAAAAACGCCTGCATACAGTTCTACAGGGAAACAAAAAAAGATGATCATGGCCCAAAAACAAAACACTTGTTCACTGTATCACCCAATCCCAATTTTGCACTGCCAGACGAGGATAACATATGAGGAACAGAGTTATCTGAAAATCACAAGAGATTGTTTCAACCCTGACCAAAATAAGAAGCCAAACAAATGTAACGTCTGTGTCACTCAAGAGTTTGCTAGTCTGAGCTTAGTGGCCACATCTTCCCTTGTACCATCTGCCTGTCTTTGCAGTTACAGGTATCTACAGCAAGCTAGAGGAGGACCATTCTTCGGCGGAAATGGTTGCAGGTGTTGCCACAAAATGATGCTGTATGTCATTTCTAAACGATAAACCTTTGTGGCATCTGTACACCTTTCATCTCGAACGTACTATGATTTTCTTTGAGCCACGAGTACCGTGCATCTCCACCTGAAATCAAATGCCATTTCTCTCAGCTAGTAGAACTAAAAGGATCCACAGATAATTTATTTTGTTTCAAGTCGACACACCCCTTTGCATTAAATATATACGAAAGAATAAAGATGCAGATGGATGGATAGTCAACAACTCACCAGATGAACTCAAGTATGGGGATTCGTCGTAATATGAGCAATCCCTTCCATCCGCGCGGTTGTACGGGGGTCCCATCACGTCAAGCACAGCACAAGCTGTCCTTGCAGTAAAACAGTGCAAATTCCCTCCATTTTCAGGGTATAGAACTGTGGTCTCCGATGAAGCATCAAAAACCGCATCTGTATTTACCTTTGCTAAACGAGCTCCTGTGGTTAGGACAAAAAGGATATCAGAAAATGAAGCGTGGGCAATAAATTTCCCTAAAACAGAGTCTGTTGCTGAAAAGGATAAGAACATAAATGTACCAACTAACCATCTGAGGTCTCAAGTGCATTATTATCATTATCTGGGGCACTTTTAGCCCAGTCATAGGACTTGAGGTGCATGGAGCCAAACAGTATCTTGCAGAATACTGTCATCCCAGGATGATTGTGGAGGGGAATGACAGCTGACTTCGGTAAACAGAAGATACCAAACTGCACAAAACATACAAAGCATCAGTAAAAACTTTTTCTTTCAAAAAGTTATTTACGTGGAAAAAGTATGCAAGGTCAGATTACCGAAAACTTGGGGCAATCGTAAAAATGTAGATAAGTCACCCGAGGAGGCCCTTTAGAATCGGCATTCTTGAAACACGACATACTCGGCTCAATTCCAACATCATGTGGTTTCAAATCATCTGCATCCAAAAGGAAGGAGATGGGACAAAATGGATGTCAGGATCTGGGTTAAGAATCACAGGTATTTGCATATAGACAAGTGCACATGCAAGAAATGTTCAAAAGTGCAAGGCTGAGTCAAAAATAATAATTACTGAAGTAGTCTAACAAACAAAAAAGAACGACCTACTAGTTTAGTTTGAACATTAAGGAGTCAATTGCAGAAATATCAAATACTTGGAAGATTTAGAAGAAACACAATGTTAAGAACCAGCTTGTAGCAATTTCTTCATCATGTCTTTGCATAGTATCACTACTATCACATGATGGAAAAAAGAAGAAGAAGAAGAAGAAAGCTTGTATAACCAGATTGGCAAAACTGAGCAATGATTTAAGTTGGGCCCAGGCCCCATGACAAGAACAATGTTTGTAACAAACTTTAGGTGGTTTCACACATCAGTAGGAAGTGAAGAGATAAACGTGAACTGGCAAGATCAAAATTCCAATTCCTAGTATTAACACTGAATACGGCCAGACACGCAGCACCTGTCGAGTGAAGTTGACATATACCTGTGGCTGGCTGTAGGAAATATTCAGTAGTATGTGGCAGAGAGGTGGGCGTACAGATGCAAAGGCCACCATGGCAGGGCAAACATACAAGAATAGCAAAGGATGGTCCATACCAAAAATGGACCTTGTCAGGAGAGGAAAGGAACAGGGATGGAGGAGTAAAGCAGGGAGGTTGTTGGTTGTGTGAGCTTGGATCAGGCGATACAGCCTATCGTTGTCGATCGTACAACCTAAGCATAAGCACGAGAAACATGTAGATGTTTCTTTCGGAGATTAAGTGCAAAGAATCAAAGTATAATTCCGCCAACAACATCAGCAACTTGTCTTGTGTACTGTCTCCAGTTAGCAAAAATCAGGGGCATCGTTGCTGGTACAGTAGAGAGTGAAAACAAAGGCATGCATGTAGAGAGAGCACGGAGTAGTAGTAGTAGGATATAGGAAGGAGTAAAGTAGGTACTGAGTAGGGCGGCGAGTCGGGCGACGGCTTGGGGCGGCGGCACGAATCCCGGCAAAGAATCCTGGAAGACCTCCCTGCTGGTGTCGAAGAGGGTCTGCATGGCGGCGACCGGCGGGGAGATGGCGGCGGAAGTTGCGGGCTTCTTTTGGCGGCGGCGGTTCTTCTTGGAGGAGGGGCGGTCCTTGTCGGTGGCGGCGAGGTCCTTGGGTTCCGCCACCTTGCCCCCTCCTCCCAGCTGCACGGGCATGAGTGACAGATCGATCTTGCGGGCGGCTGCGGGAGAGGAGAAGAAGCTAGGGCGGTGGTGGGGATAGGTGTAGATTTGAGGAGGGAGGAGGCAGAAGGAGGGAACAATGGGGAGGAAATGGAAATATCAAGAAGGAGAAGGAGAAGGAGAAGGAGAAGGAGAAGGCATCATCCATGCGGATGGGAGGCGCCGCGCGAGGAAGAAGCAAAGCCAAACCAAACCAAACCCAGGCAGGAGGGGAGGAAGGCAAAACCGGGGGCGGGGACTGGAGGGAAGAGGACGCCACGCAACGCAACGCGACCCTCTCTCTCTACTGTCTACTGTCTACTGTCTGAGGAGTAGTGCTTGTGCTTCGACGGACGGACGGCGGGAACAGCCATTCCTGTGGGCCGAATCCCATACTGCCTCCGGTTTTCCCTTTCTTTCCTTTTTTTTTCTCTCTCTATATACTCCCTCTATTTCGAAATGTTTGACACCGTTGACTTTTTAGCACATTTTTGACTGTTCGTCTTATTCAAAAACTTTTATGAGATATATAAAATTATATGCCTACATGAAAATATATTTAACAATGAATCAAATGATATAAAAAGAATTAATAATTACTTAAATTTTTTAAATAAGACGAACGGTCAAACATTTGATAAAAAGTCAACGGCGTCAAATATTTCGAAACTAAGGGAGTATATATTAGCCGCTCTGCTTTTTTCTTAATTTCTTTTTTTGCTTGGCCTGGCCCAGTCAGTAGTATGATATTATTGGCTCGTGTCGTCTCGTGCCCTCCGCATGGACTCCGTTGCTCTCTGTTTGCCAGGTCACGCTACCACGCAAGCCGACGTGCGTGCCAACCTGGACATCCATCGCCGCCTACCTACACGTCACTCCTTTTTCTTTTTTTCCTCTACTCCTTACATTTTCCAATCTACCACGCTCCATGGACGTCCCTCTTCTTACCACTGCTAATCTAAATTTATATTTTCTTTTACAAAAAAGTTAATTTTACTACCTCAAACTATATTTTACCGGAGCCCCCGACTATTTTTTTTTCTTGTTTTACACCCTAAACTATTGAAAGTGGTATTTTACATATCAATTTGGTAGGATTGATATATGCATTGCAACTTACCTCTCAATATGATTTAATTTTTTTCTATCATTGTTTTCATAGGTCAGACAAACATTAAGATTTTACATCCAATATAATGATGTCATCTATGCCTCTAAAACAATTTAACTTAAAATACTATTGGTGTAAAAAAAGAGTAAATGATATTAAGCTATAAAATGAAGCGTTTTTAATAATTTGGGGGTAAAATAAGCCCAAAATAGTTAGGGGTTAAATTGCCCAAATAAAATAGTTCAAGTGAGCAAAATGGATTGTTTTCTTTCTTTTATCATCTTAGGGGTCATTCCAAAGTGATGAAATACGGACAAAAATTAAATAGATGATCTATTTAGTTAACATGATAAATTAATATTCTAAACAATAGGCTTGTTCATCTGGAGTAAATATTTGTGTTTATTTAAGTACTTCCAATTTAATGTATATACATCATATCATATTTTAGTGTCTTTAAACTAAATATTTTAAAAGTTATTCATAGTCAAAGTTCTAATCATTTAACCTTAGCCTTATTCCCGCCGGGGAGGGGGTTAACGTTTTGAGGTATATAATATTTTTATATCTTTTATGTGTTTTTTGGACTTTCGGCATCTGTAGTTTTGACCGGTTTCTTGTACACACTTCTCTTATCTCTCATATGTAAAACTTAGTAATGACTTGTGGCGGTCTAAATCATATTTATACCACTATCTAATTGTAAAAGCGAGGTAATTTTATTTCTATACTTAGTTTCCGAATAACATTTATATAGGTTTTGATCGAAAGGTCCTAATGAAAAGCTGTAATTCTATCATTGGCATCCATTTTTTATGCTACAACAAATAGTTTGTCCCCAAGTTTATGTAAGGTGTCCTCCTGCTCGATGATGCGTACAAAATACATTTTTGAAGGCTAAGAGAGATGGTCATGATTTTCTACCACTCTACCATTTGTACTTTTGACTCATGTTTATTTGGCACATCTCTCCAATGTCCTTGTGTAGACCTTATCGGGGTTTGCATATCGATAAGGGAATGGCAATATACCCTTGTCCGGCTATTACATTTACCACAGTAACCATGTGATTGATATAAAATTGTGATGTTTCAAAAATTGAGAGGGTTATCGGACATGGTTACTATAGTAGCAAATAAGTATACCCTAAACTTTAGTAAAAGGGTGTGTTCCCAAATGCCACCCACCGTTCGTAATCGAACCAATGTACATATAGTAGTTTTGCATCACATAGCTATATGGTTGCGAACACCACCACGCACCTTGTTGAAGTATAATATGGGAGTTTAATATATGACATGCTGAGAACTCTTGTTGTATAGATTTTTAATGAGTGAAAATTATAATCTCGATTTGATTGGAGCTTTTGAACCACCGATAAAAGGATTGTTCTCAGTCTATATATATTTTGTCAACATTAAAGTATACTCAAGTGCATCATGCCTTCTATGTTAGCAGAGAATATATATAACATGTAACCACTCATTAACAAATTTTAGCGGCCATTGTGGGTATACACTGGGGCCAAGTTTAAGTAGTTTATAGTGACATATGTGAAACATGCGGCATTACCAGCTAGCAGGATATATATGAAACTATGAACTGATGTCAACATGGCACGCCAAAACCGCAAAACCTGCTGGAAAGCTCAATTTTGAAATGGATCGCCATGAACCTTTTTTTTTTTCGTGTTAAGAACATCCATTGGAACATCATCCACTCACTGAAAAGAAAATTGTAAAGCAGAAGGCAGCAAGCTAAGTGAGCTGTCAGTGGTTTGAAGAGCTAGCAGGTCGTCTCCTTCGATTCCTGTGGGTAGTAGGACGCTCATTCGTTCGGGCATTGATTTGTTAATCGAATTTATATATGCGTAAAATCATGAATGGCCGATCGATCGAAAAGACACCTGCCTACCTAGCTACCTACCTCTGCATCGTCAAAAGATTGAACACATGCTGCCGCCTGCCATACGGCTGCATTTCATCCATACATTTATTATTAAAGCACTCATGGTTGTGTTTAGTTTCTTCCAAAGTTGGAAGTTTTGGTTGAAATTGGTACGATGTGACTGAAAAGTTATGTGTGTATGATAGGTTGATGTGATGGAAAAAGTTGGAAGCTAACACAGCCCATGCATCAAAGTGTTCTATTTTCTCGGAGCAAGAGGTGCATAGGGCCATTAAGGAGATGCCCACCGATAAAGCCTCAGAGCCAGATGGCTTCACAGGGATCTTCTTCAAAGTATGCTGGGAAATCATCAAAGAAGACATTCTTCTGGTTTTCGATTCAATCTATAACCTCAGATGCGCACACCTGAACCTGCTCAACTCTGCGAACATTGTTCTAATACCTAAAAAAGAAGGGGCTGAGGGGGTCACGGACTATAGGCCAATCAGCCTCATCCACAGAATCGCCAAGATCTTCTCCAAGATGCTTGCGCTGCGGCTAAGGCCGCACATGCATTTGTTGATTTCAGTCAATCAGAGCGCCTTCATAAAAAGAAGAAGCATCCATGACAACTTCCTTTTCGTGAGAAACATGGCCAGAAGATACCACCGCCTGCGGCGGGCAATGCTGCTCTTCAAACTAGACATAACGAAGGCCTTTGACTCAGTCCGCTGGGACTACCTTCTAGCCTTGTTGCAGCGAAGGGGTTTCCCAACAAGATGGACATATTGGCTTGGGGCTATCCTGTCAACTTCAACATCTCAAGTACTCCTCAACGGCTCGCCAAGGCAGCGGATCAGGCACGGCAGAGGCCTTAGACAAGGGGACCCCTATCACCACTGCTATTCGTACTTGCAATTGACCCTCTGCAACGAATCCTCTCCAAGGCAATAGAGCTCGGCGCAATCTCGAAGTTGCGAGGGAGAACAACCCACCTAAGGATCTCGATGTATGCAGACGACGCCGTCATCTTCATCAACCCCACACGGGGCGATGTCACGGCTTTTGCAGACATCCTACATCGCTTCGGCACTGCCACTGGACTCGTCACCAACCTTCAGAAATCCCAAGTGGCGGCCATCAGATGTGACGGCATCGAGTTGGCAGAGGTTCTTGAGGGCGTCCCGACGGTAAGGGCAAACTTCCCCATAAAGTATTTGGGCCTCCCCTTGGTATTAGGTAGACTACGGAAGGTGGATTTGCAGCCTGTCTTCGACAAAATCTCAGGAAGGATAACAAACTGGACGGGGAAAAACATGGCAGCAGCTGGAAGAACCACGCTCATCAAATCAATGCTCACGGCACAGCCTATTTATCTCCTGACTGCCTTGAAAACTACGAAGGAATCCCTCGAGCAGCTAGACAAGCAGCGCCGTCGCTTTCTATGGGCCGGCACAGGAGACATCACCGGAGGGAAATGTAAAGTCAACTGGACAAAGACGTGCTTGCCAACCAGTCAGGGAGGATTGGGAGTCCTAAATTTGGAGAAATTCACGAGGGCCTTGCGGCTGCGATGGTTATGGCACGAATGGAAGGACCCGACCAAGCCTTGGGTGGGACTGGAAACGCCCTGCGATGAAATTGACAGGAGTCTATTCGCCGCCTCAACAAAGATAGCAATTGGAGATGGGAACACGACTCGCTTCTGAGACTCCGCCTGGATCGAGGGGAAAAGACCTAAAGACCTCATGCCGCTGGTCTATGCGATCTCTAAGAACAGAGGGAGATCTCTTCGAAATGGAAAGGAGGAGGACGCCTGGGTTCAGGATCTGGCTTTGGAGTCTCACTCTCCTATTACAGTACACCTCGTCGAACAACTAGTCGCCCTATGGGAAGCGGTCCGAAATGTTCACTTAGACAATGGAGAACCGGACCAGATTACCTGAAAATTCACAAGTAGTGGACGCTACACGGCCTCCTCGGCCTACCATGCGCAATGCCAAGGAACGTCGAGCACAAGCTTCAACTCCTTAATCTGGAAAGTCTGGGCACTAGGGAAATGTAAATTTCATGCTTGGCTCATCATCCAAAATAGAGTCTGGACCTCAGTTCGACTTGCGACCAGGGGTTGGCAAAACAATGGATGTTGTCCTCTGTGCCGCTGTGAGGCTGAGACGGCGTTGCACCTCGTTGCCACTTGTAGATACACTAAAAGGATGTGGGGCCTTGTTGCTGGATGGGTGGGATATCAGCAAATTGAGCCGACTCAATGGGAGGAGGCACAGTCAGTACAACAGTGGTGGGAGAGCATCGCAAACACGCCAAATGTTCCGAAGAAAGGACTCCGATCACTCATCCTACTAGTTGTATGGGAAATCTGGAAGGAGAGAAATCGGCGAATCTTTGACCACAAAGAGGTGGCAACGAGTTTCCTCCTGTCAAGAATCAAAGAAGAGGCTAGCTTTTGGGCTTTAGCAGGGGCTAAGCGGCTGCGCGGGTTAATCCCGCACTATGTATAGTGTATAGATACAGGTCCTCGATTTTTTCCTGTTGCCCCTAGGGGTTGTATTTTCTCCTGCTCTGTTCAATGAAAAGACACTCTAGTACTATTTTCCATTCAAAAAAAGTGTTCTATTTATACATATACACACACACAATAGTAGTGCTGCGCCATCTACTATCTTCAAGCTCTTCACCAACTGCATCCTTCAACTGAATCTTTTTTTTTTTGACAAGTCGTTCAACAGCATCTTTCAACTCTGGCAATTAAGTTCTGCAAATTAAGTTAACTGTTGGACGTACTTCTTATTATCCTTTTTTGTAACGAGCATGGGTTTGTCATTTCTCTTGCAAATTGAGAAAACTGGTTATTCTAATTAATCAAGTGGTTAGCTATGACCAACTTTGCACCCTTGAAAAAATGGGGCTGCTGGAATATCGTTCTTCTGATGGTCCGTGACTCGAATTCTCCTGCTATAATCCAAGCTTGGTAATTGGTATGACATGTCTTAGATTATTACTAGCAATTAGTGGATGCACACATCTATGTATATTCTCCTGTACGATAGATCTTGCTCCCAAGTCTTAACTCTGATTCTCAAAAATAAAAAATCTTAACTCTCAACATGCTTGGTTGGAACTTACTTCTTTGTTTCATATTATAAGTCATTTTGACTTTTTTTTAATCCAATTTTTTTAAGTTTGATTGAGTTTGTAGAAAAATATAGTAACATGTTCAACACAAAATAAACATATTATCAAACTATATTCAATGGCGAGATGAGTTTGATATCAAAGTTTCTAAGAAGATTAGTGATATATGTGACGTGTTTGTCGCTGTACAATGATAGGGTAAATTTAGAGCAAAGACATAGAAAAAGATTTGAAGCTTAGTCTTCAAGGCTTTTCCTTGATCTTTTGTGTCCCTCGTTTGTGTGGCATGGAGTCCGGCTACATTCAGCAGTGGGTGTTAGGGCTTGGGGAGCTTGAAATGGTTCACGCAAAATGGGGTATCTCATTAGTGAATGTTTAGTTAAATATTATCTATTGCAAATCTTTAAAGAAACTTTTAGATCTTTTTACAATAAACATACCATAGCAGTTCGGGAAGCGTGCTTATGAAAAATGAGAGGAGTTTCTAGCCGAACCAGTGCTTCTGAATGAACACTAAGTACTCCTGCTTATCACTTTTGCTATGCATATCCACATATTAATATAGAGACTAGATTTTTATCCATTATCTTAAAAATATAGCATCTATACACATAATGCTATGTGATATTGTAAGTTTCACTTTGACTAACATTTATCAACCATAGTTACAGCTTGGACTATGAGCCAATAATTATATTCACTTTGGGACATGATTTTTTGCAAGATATTGCACTCATAGACATGTTGTTCTTCCTCCATCGCCCCTCTTTCTCTCCTATTTTGGTTTGAGCTCAACACGCGATGGTGAGTGGGTTCTGTAGCATTGGAGCCTATGCCAGTGCTCGAGTTCTTTATGTATGGTTGTATGAGGCGTTCACATTTCAAAGATACTAAACTAGAAGAGCTCATAGATCCAACACTTGGCCGCTACCACCGGCTGAAGCTGCTCACCTAGGATGGTCCACATATCCAAAACCTAAATCCAATGCTACCCTAATCGTGGCCTCCTCGTCTAGCTCTACACAACCGAGTGTCCTAGTCTAGTTCTTCACATATTAATATTGATAAGGTGTTGGACACCATCACATTTAATGCAACAGGTGTATTGAGCATGAGGCAGAAGCGACCGAGTTTGTTCTTGAGCTCACGCTCCACCTCCATGACATCTATGGACACGCAAACATGTGCTTACCTATGGACATCAAGCTTGAATTGAAGTGAAGAAAAAAAGGAAGAAGAATAGATCCAGAGTGCAACATTTTATAAAATTTCCTTGCCCAAAAGTGAAAGGAGTTGTTATGTGTAGTCTAGCCTAAACTATGGTAAAAAAAATATAACCGAGTTGTTAGCTCGTAGTCCAACCTAAACTATGGTAAAATATATAACATACTTCCTCCATCTCAAAATAATATATGTGATGGGATATTTTTTATATAATGAATTTTGATATGCTCTTATCTATATTTGTAGTACCAGAAAATATCACATCCTATCTTAAATTGATTTATTTTGGAACGGAGAGAGTAATATGCAATTTTCTTTTATTTTAATAAGAAAAAAAATAATGTTTGTAAAAATAAGAAAACGAGAGGTGCTTATTGAAAAAAAGACGAAAAATTCCCAAATCACAGGAATTGAAGTGGTTATGGTTATGGAAGGAGCTATCCAAATCCCAGTGAAGCGAAGGCCACCAATCCTCTTCTTCCTCTCCGGCCGCCTCCTTCCTCACCATGGCGCTCGCGCTGCGCTGCCCCGCCGCTGCCTCGCCGTCGCCAGCCAAGAGCACCTTCCCGCCCTCCTCCTCCCCGCCGCCGTCGAGGCTCCCGAGGAGGCCGCCCGCCAGCTGCAGGTGCTACTACTACGGCGACGGCGGTGGCTTCCGCAAGAACTACGACCACATCCCCAAGCAGTTCCGCGAGGAGAACCTCAAAGATGGCCGTGAGCTCACTTTCCCCCCTCTTCACTTCCCAAACAGGGAGCTCTATCCACAATAAGATCTTGCTAGGTTTCGCCACATGGCTTGGGCTGTTGGGCATCAGCATATTCATGCAAACTACTATCAAAATTAGTGAGCAACCAGTGCGCATTTCTTCTTACGAATTAGCCTGAAGATGACCAATACTTTTTTTTTGTGCTTTCTTCTTCTAATCTACAGTGTTAGTTGACATTTGAGCGTTATGAAACCACAGTTTGCATTCAATCAGCAACAAAGCCAAATCTTTACCGATGAATTATGCTGTACTGTTTGAACCTATATTAATGACATACTGCCTTGTTAACAGTTTTGACGCAATTTCAACGTTCATACATGAAAAAAACTGATGTCAAGAACTGAACAAAGCCATGTAAACTGATTATCACTACGCACTGTATAGTTTGTGGTTTCTTCAGTAAAAAAGGAACAACATCCCTCTCGCTTTTGTTTTAGCATTTCGGTAATCCAACACTAGGACTAGGAGGAGAGTCCGTTGAAGTTATTACCATGGATGGTCTATAGTCAAATGATAGACTTTATTGATTTTTGGTCCAAGATAAAATGACACTTTATGCATGAATACAGAAGGCAATAGTTACCCTAGTTTTTATGGTGAGGTGACCATTTCTATCGTGTCTTAGTTTTACTATTTCTCGCACTTTATCACCTTATCTCTGACACTCTCATCACCCTTTATTTGTAACACTTCTTTCATGTTTGGTGCTTTCTTGCAGTGATGGATAATTACAAGAATGTTCCTCAATTCCTTTATGGCTTAAGCCCTGCTCAGATCGAAATGTTTATGAACGATGATAATCCATATGATCGGCAATCACAGAGAGTTACAGAGGTTAGTTTTGTATAGAGATGTCATTATTGTCCTTTCTTGAATTTGTGCTATGAAATTGACACAACAAAATCGATGTGATATTTTCCTGCGTGAACTGCAGGAAAGCATTTCTGCTTCTAGGAGCTATGATGAATTTGGCATGTACAACTTGTCCGGTATGCATGAGGGCCCTGCAGGTTACAGCATGGGTATGGGAATGGGCACCATGAGCATGGGCAGGGCAGGGCGAGGATATAGAAGAATGAGAAGTTCAGCTCCAGATCTGCCATCATTGCTATTGGACTCTCGAATTATATTCCTTGGAATGCCTGTGAGTCAAACTTTATGCCTTCATCATTATCCATGGCATAATATTTCAATGTTTAAATGAAATTGTTAATAACTTTGTTCCTTCTATTCTTATTGTTCTGCCGGTAGATTGTTCCAGCAGTAACAGAGCTTATTGCTGCGCAATTTCTGTGGCTAGATTATGATGACCGCACCAAGCCAATTTACTTGTATATAAACTCCACAGGAACCATGGTAAGCTCTTATCTTGAGAATTGATAATAGGTAAGCAACATGTGATGTGAACTTGTACCAAAATTATTAAAAGATGCTTATCTATATTTTTCCTGTGTTGTGACAGGATGAAAACAATGAGCTGGTTGCATCTGAAACTGATGCATTTGCAATTGCTGATTTTATCAATGTAAGCCCTTATCTTTTGTTCCTCTGATTTAGTGGAAGTTCAATACGGCATAAAAATGCTATACACGTTTTGTGTCAGTATTTTCATACAAGGTTACATCCATGAAACTGATTTCATTAGTGTGCTTATGGTGCAAAACTACTTGCTTGCAATCAATTGATTGATATTGAGCCATAGAGCCTGGTTCTTACAACCAGATTAGGGGAAATGGCACCTGTTGGGATGTGAGTCTAGAGCGGTATATTCTGCGTATTAAAATTTTTCTTGAATATACTATGAAAGATATAAGTATTTTTTGTCTTGTTAGAGTTGTATTTGCTAGTGGAGATGCTAGTACTATTTACAACTTTGCTTGCACAGTTTCGCTTTTCTAAGGTTAGTACACTTGAATCAATTTCAGTTATGTGATTGGTCAACCATGGCAACTGAATCTAGAGAAGATGGCCAGCCTGATGTTTTACACATTAACACAAAAATTTCATGGATATAAACATTAAAGTGACTGAATCAATAACATATGGCCAGGAATTCTAAAATTGAATGAAACACAGTTTAAGCATGGACACAATGGCTTTGAGGTAGAGTGACAACTGACAGGTGCTCTTTTTTTGGGGGGGTCTTGTAGCGAAGCAAATCCAAGGTCTACACAATCAATCTTAGCATGGCATATGGTCAGGCTGCAATGCTTCTGTCCCTTGGCGTCAAGGGTAAAAGAGGAGTGCTACCAAATTCAATCAGTATGTTATTTTTCTAAGTTTCATTGTTTCCTTTTTGCAATTGAACGTGTGCATGTTTTTTTTGTGACTGACCTTGTGGTCTGAAAACATCATTGTCATGCTTCAGCTAAACTGTACCTGCCTAAGGTCCACAAATCTGGTGGAGCTGCTATTGACATGTGGATTAAGGTCACATCCACCTCTTCTTTTCAGTATCTATCTCAGTATCTGACACACTACATGCACTACGGGCCTTGCGAATTGCGAGGACTGAATGTTTTACTATTCTGTGCTCAGGCAAAAGAGTTAGACACGAACACGGATTACTACCTTGAACTGTTGTCAAAAGGAGTTGGAAAACCAAAGGAAGAGCTCGCAGAGTTTCTCAAAGGTCCAAGGTACTTCCGTGCGCAGGAGGCCATCGATTATGGGCTTGCAGATACAATCTTGCACTCTTTGGATGGTTCCTTCAAACCAAAGGTACTTTTTGGTCCATCATTCATGTGTTGTGGTACGTCTGCATAGGTAGCTTTCCCCTGACTAAATCTTCCTTCCTGGAATAGGATCTGACCGCGCAGTTGGCCAAAGCACAGGAGATGCGGCAATCGGGGAAGCGCCCAGCAGCTGGAGCTGGGCGATGGTCAACTCCAAGTGTCCCTAGATAGACTAGAACGTCAGATCAAAACCATACACTAGCTTAATATCGACGATGATACGCGTGGTTGTCCTATTCAGAGCAGCCTACCTGTTACATTTGCATGCAAGAAGAAATCCTGTCAGGGTTTGGAATAGATTCAGGCTGACGAAAACGTTGCTTACTGCAGTGGCTTTTGTGTTATTGGGTCATCTATGAATACGATGAATATGTAGTTTATGCTGCCTTCCTGCCAAGGTTGTTGTATTTTTCAGATAGAATTCACTAGTGGAGATGGTAATCCAGTAATCCATGTGACCAAGTATTCTTCTTATTCATGTGTTGGCTCTGCATGATGCACACCACTGCTTAATCGTGACGGTGAAACACAGACGAACTCATGCAATGCAGTGCGTTTTTTTGTGTTTGACTGTATACATATGGTAGTTGAATCAAATATATTCCTTGCAAATTTACACAGATTTGGCCGCTTTACATTCACATTTGCTTAATTCAGATTACATGGGCATGGAGATACGGTGTGATGGATGGATGGATTGGATTGGATCACCTCCTGCAGAAGAACTTGTGGGAGACGAAGAAGCCGAGGGAGAAGGCGGCGACGGCGGTGGCGATGACATCCTTGTTCCTCCTCGCCGTCTCCACCACGCCCTCCGCCCACCTCATGTCTCCCAGATGCTCCAGCTCCCCCGCCACGCGCTCTCTCCACCTGCTCAACGCCGTCGCCGTCTTCTCCTCCGCCGCAGCCGCCGCCTTGGCGCACTCTTCCTCGGCGCGCCGCTTCACCTTCTCCGCCAGGCTCTCCCGATCGACGACATGCCCCGGTAGCGGTGCAGCAGTAGTAGGCTCTGCCTGCTTCCTCTCGGTCGTCGTTGCAGGCTTGTGCTTGGCAATCGCCTCTTCCTCCTGCAGTTTCTTCGTCTTCTTGGCGGCTGCTTCTTCCTCCTCCTCCTGTTGCTTCTTCTTGGTTGCTTCTTCCTCTTCCTGCAGCTGCTGCTGCTTCTTCTTGGCTGCTTCTTCCTCCTCCTCCTGTTGTTGTTTCTTCTTGTTGGGTGCCTCGTCGAATTGGGGTTGGGGCTCCTGCTTGGCGGTAGGCGCTTTCTGCTTGATCTCCTGTACGGAGGTGGGAGCTGGCGCGGAGGAGGTCGGGGCGGGGCGCTTGGGGACGGTGATGGTGAGGACGCTGGCCTCGAAGCGGCCGGTGATGTCGTCGATGTTAGCGTTGGAGGGCAGCTGGAAGACCTTGTGGAAGCGGGTGTTGTGCTTGCTGCCGGCGGCGGGGCGCTGCCCCCGGACGGTCAGCTTGCCCGTGCCGTCTACTTGCACCCTGAAATCTTCCTTCTTGAAACCTTTATCATGTATATGCATGTGATCAATAGAATATACTAGTATTAGCATCGATCGATCCATGCAAAAAAAATGACGAAATTAATTGGAAACTACTCATGCAGGCAAAACGATGGATTAATTAGCCAGCCAGCCAGCTAGGGTACGTACCAGTGAGGTAGAGGCGGAGGAGGAAGTTGTTGGCATTGTCGAGCCACTCGAACTTGGGGTCAAGCTCTTCATCTTTCTGATCAGGACCAGGACTAGCAGCAGCTGCCTGCTGCTTGCCTCCTCCTTGCTTGTTGCTCGCCATCAATCTACCACCCGCGCGATGGAAGCTAAGCTACGTACAGCTCGTCGGTTTATTTGCTGCTGCAATAGAATTTGCGTTCGAGACAGATGGATGGATGGATGGATCGTTGTGGTGTAGCCAGCATCAGGATGTATATATAGCTACAGGTCGTACGTGGCCTGCAGCCTGAAGGGCGGTGGTGATGGATCGAATATGGTTCCAAACTTTTCTTGAGGGCAGGAAATTGACGACGTAGCCAGCTAACTAGTACGATCCACAATATATGTTCTGAAAACTAAGATGCTTAGGAAAGGTTAGGGATCTATCTACATTTGCCTTTGCGAGTGAGCTTAATTAAGCAGATTGGGAGGAAGAGGAATCAAATTAAGGAACTCAGCCATTGCGGAACCGGAATGTTCTCCCAAGTTAACTATGACTAGCCGAGCTCCTTTGCATCGCATCGCACGCTATTTTGGGCTGGGCCTATTTTCACGGAGATGTTTATATTAGGTGGGCTGGCAATCATCATGCATGGGCCGCCCCTGGAGGACATTGGACGCGCTTGGATTGTTGACGTGGGCCCAAAAGCAAACACAACAAAAAGAAAGGAATACGTCTATTTTGCCTCACTCTACTATCGCTTATTCGCTTTGGGTCGAATGGTATATCTCAACCGCAAAACCAGATATAGCGCATCCTTCAACTTCAAAAATCAGTGCAAATAGATTTCTTCGATAGTTTGGGAGATGATTTATGCTAATGTGGCGATTTAACCATGGTCAAACTCACTAACGTGCAAACATAGAACCACATGTAAGTCGCAAAGAAAAAAAAAGTAGGACCCACAAAGCTAGCTCCCGCTCTTCACCCCTTTCTTCTCTTTTTTCTCCAACCGAGTCAGGCAGGGCTAGGTTGGATGGCGAGCCCCTCCGAGCTCGCTTGCTTGTGCATTGTTGTCCCAAGCGAGTGCAATAGAGGGCTCAGAGTATGCTCCGCTGTTCCGCGCCCAGTCGCGTGTTATCAATCGTGCCACACCACCCCCGAGTCAAGCAAGGTAGTGGTGGCGGTGGTTGAGCTAGGTCGTGGAGGAGGAGCAAGGACCCGACGAGCAATGAGCCAAGCTCGAGGATGAGAGAGGACTGAAAGAGATAGATGGGGATGGCTCCTATGGGGGTGGCGCACCTCGACCCCCACAGTATGGAGGCCATCGACAGCTCGAGCTCAGTGAGGCTCACCGTAGATGACAGTAGAATAGCTTGAAGGTAATGGTGGCTGCGTGGAGGTGGTCATCAAGGAGGATGAGGACGATACGGTGGAGCACGATGATGGGTTTAAGCGGAGAGCAGTTTGTGGTGGCAGCAGTAGCGCGGCAGGGGGTGGAGGCTGGAAGGTGTGGCGCGGGGAGGTAGGTAGGATGCCTCTTCGTCCACTCATTGAGGTTATGGCATCCACTAGCAGGAGCAGCACGACTTGTGGCAGATCAAGGACCGTCGTCGCGGAGCTACTTCTATATCCACTGGCATCGTCGTCAGGCCACCTTCCCCTGAAGTCAAGCACGCCCTGCATCTAGACACGACGCTCACCCACAATACGGAGAGGAGGCACACCCTCATCAACCTAAATCTAATGTCGAGCAATCTCAGGGCGGCGGACGACGAATTCCTCATGCAGGGTCAACAAGAAAGGATAGTGTAGTGACTCGCGGAGTGGTGGTGGTGGGCCCATACTAGGGCTGAACGAAAAACTTGTGGCTCGTTAGCTCGCTCGGCGCGTGACCAACTCGGCTCGGCTCGTTTAGAAAACGCAACAAGCCAAGTTGCCTTTGCAGCTCGTTAGACATAACGAGCCAGCTCGAGCTGGCTCACGAGCTACTCGCGAGCTTAACGAGCTGATACATCAGTATGTTGCCCATTGCCCATAGGCAAGCCCAAGATGACAGCCCAAGTATACCACTCCATCCCGGAATTTTTTTTATTGTTAAATTTATTTTTTTTAATATTTATAAAAATATTATATCAATTAAAAGATTTACAAAAATAGACCCTGCCACTCTCTATTTGGGCGGCAAGTTGACGTGGCACACGAGCGCATAACTGTCGTTTTAGGGGCTGTGAATTTTGGCCCCCTTGCCACCTTCTGTCTGGGCGGTAAGGGGCTTCCGTGCAAAATTCGCAAGGGCAGCAAGGGGCTCAGATGCAAAAAGAACAAGCCAATTGCTTTTTTTGGCATGGCAAAAATTATATTTGGGCGGTAAGGGGCTAAGCGCAAAATGTGGCACCGTGTGTTATGTTAGCTTGCCGCCCAAATGGAGAAAGATAGGGTCTATTTTTTAAATCTTTCCACCGACGTAATATTTCTGTAAATATTAAAAAAAGTAAATTTAAAAATGAAAAAAAATTCCTCCATCCCGTGCATCCATCAATAGAAAAATCAATCGAGAGCTACAGCCTACAGAGAAATCAACAGAAAAATATCTCCTCCCCTTCTCCTAACCATCGATCCAATCCAGACCGAGTCGCCGTCCGCCGTCCGCCGTCCCGCCTTGCGGCTGCGCGCACCTACACCTTGTGTCGCGCTCCCTGCCTCCGTCCCGCACGGCGCCGCTCCCTGCCTCCACCCCGTGTCGCGCTCTGCCTCCATCCCGTGCGGCCGCCGGCCATGCATCTTTGTCCGCCATGGCCATGGAGCAGGAATGAATAAAGGAAGCTTTCTGCTCTCTACTTCTCCTTCACAGTATGAAGCTTAATTTCCGACATTTCTTTTTATGGTGAAAGATCTCGGTGTTGTTGTGTTAGCCTTTTTATGGGGAGATTTCAGGCTTCTCTATGTTTTTTAATCTTTTGAAGATTTCTTGGATGGTTTTGGATCCATTTAGTCTTGTTGTGTTCAATACTTCCATTCTATGGATGAATGGATGGGACATATTCACATGGATATGAATCGTATTACTTGAATCATACTTTGATGTATCTTGCTCCATCCTGACTTTGATATCTTGTTCGGGCTCACGAGCTAAACGAGCTGGCTCGAGCCGGCAGCCGAGCCGAGCCTGCCTTATAGCTCGTTTGGATAACGAGCCTCAGCTAGTTATCCTACCAAGCTAGATCGAGCCGAGCTAAGCCGTGCTGGCTTGATATCCACCGCTAGCCCATTCCAAGGAAGTTGTTATTGCCGTCTCTGAGCCTAAGCCACCAAGATAGGCATTCCCATGATCCCATCCTCACTCCACTGCCGTTAATTATGGGGTGAAGGGGGAGAGGGTGGGGGTGGGAGAGGGATGGTCGTCTAGATATGACACCTCGAACCTTCTTCTTGATGTGCCACAGGAAGGAGAGGAGAGAGAGAGAGAGAGGGAGGATGAGAAACAAGATAGGTGATGAGAAGTCGTTGATATGTGGGTCAATTTTCTATAGGAGTCGATTTGCACCGATTTTTAAAGATGGGAGAAACGTTATATTCGATTTTATGGATGAATTTATGGTTGAAGGAGAAAAAAAGGTTATCCCAAAAAGTAAAGGAGGCTAAAGAAAAAAGGAAAGCAAAGAGGGCTATATGCCATGGGAGGGGATGATCGTCTTCCGCCCATCGTTCTTTCCGTCTGGTTTTACTGTGTCTACCTGACGTCTCTGTCGACGGGAACTCCGTAAGGTCCGTCAAAGGCTCATCAAGCTGCACAGGTAAAACACACACAAGCCGAAGCCGGACGAGAGAGAGATCATTTTTTCTTTCCTTTTTCTTGTGAGAATCCCCTCGAGTTCCTCGGACCAAAGGCTGCGCCGTCCTTATTTATACGACGAGTAGTCCACTAGAGGAACAAATTAAGACACAAGTGGAAGTTGCACAGCTCCTCCTCGATCCACCCGGCACCAAGGTAACCCCAAAATCCCTCCTTTTTCTGACTCCTCTCCTTCCTAGATGCCTAATATTGTGCAAGATCCCTGCAATTGCTGCTGCTGTTCCTCAATTCTGCATTCTCGATTTCTTAGGTTAGGTTACAGTCAGACACACACACACACACACACTCTCTGTAGCTCGCTGCTTCCTTGTGTTTTGGTTATACGCGTGGCCTCGTTCTCTCTGCCCCCTCATCTTCCCTTCTGTTTCTTCTTCTTCTTCTTCAATTTTGGCAGGAGATTTCCCCTTCAATTCGGCGGTGCTAAGTCCTCACCAAAACGATCCTCGATTCAATTCTTCCCTTGTTTCTTTCTTTTCTCTCTTTTGCCACTTGCCCTTTCGCTTTACGCTAACCAAAATATCCATTCGATTTGGTCTTATCCTTCTCTCCCCGCACACTGTTTCCCTCCTTGTCTGCTGCCAAGTCTAGTGGACTCACTCTGTCTCTATCCACTGCAATTTCCTCATACTCGTTATAAAACTTAAAAGAAAAAAAATCGAAAAAGGCAGCAATTATTATTATCTCGTTGATTTGGACAACAAGTAGCAATAATGGGTCTAGCCTTCCCTGTGTTTTTTTTTTCTTATGCTGATCTTTCACTCCTATGAAAGGTAAGTGCTTGTAATTTCCCCAGATATATCCTCCCTACTGGAACGTAGCGCCATTTTTTTTCTTCTCCTGTGATAGTTACAGGCATTGCACGCATGCTTGTCGCCGAAATTATCGAGCTTTTTTCTGTTAGGAATGTAGCTATGACTTTGCATCAAGTCTATACACGCAATTTCATACCAAAACATCTCTGAACATTTCGTACGCAATCGGCTGCCAATTTATTAGTAGTTCCTGCATCCACTTGACAGTCCAGACAGTGATATATACGCCGTGGTCAAATGGGGATCAGTCAATGTTTGGGTTGATCCACACCCACATGCCACAGCTGATTGGTTCTTCTTTGTGTTGGTCCATTGTAAAAGCAGATAAAGTGGACCAACTAATTTAACAGGATACAGCAAAATGTGCTGCTACCTTCCCTTCCTGATAAACAACACCACCCTGTCATAGTGTCTCATTTAGGCATATCCTGATACCAGCTGGCTATTCTCTCTTGCCCTTCCACGTTCAAGTTTCAGCCCAGGCAAGTTCTATTGCAATCTTCCATTGTTTGCTTTGCTTGAGACATTCCTGCATACTTCGTTCAAGTTCTATTTTCATTCTATATGGTGTGATGCGATTAATCTTAGTGTTTTTAGTTCCCTAGCTATCCTGTTTTCATCTATTGTACAGAGAAGTCCTTGCATATTTCTCTCTCTAAAAAAAAGAAGAAGTCTGTTCATATTCATGGATAATACATAAAACCTGAACCTTGTAAGATTTTCAAGCTATTGGACTTCTTTTGCGTTAGAGCAAGATTTATGTTTCTGAAATTTTTTAAAAAATCTGGCCTTGTTGGATAAGCAAATTTGCGGACAACATACTTTTTTTTTCCTCCAAGACTGAAGACTAATGTTTTCTTTGATGAGATAATGAAATTTAGCATCAAAAGTTGTTGAAATTTACAGTAAATAGTTGGATTGTATGTAGATTTGTAGACTTGTTTGGTATAACTATTTCATCGTCTCAATCAATTTAGCTATCATACAACTTCTGAAGCACACGTCAATAAAGGTTTACTCTAAGACTGTCTCTAATCTAGGAATGCTAATTGATGGAATGATGTGCAACATGTGCTCAAGCGTCAATGTTTTTGTAAATTTTACAAGTGCTTTGTTACAACAGTCATCTATGTTTTTTTATTTTTTTATTTTTTTTTGTAAAAGCATTCTGCAGGCTAATGGACTGTTGGGAACTAAATTGCAGAAACTACCTTATATTAAAAAAAATGATCAGACCTGCGTGATTTATGTATGATCATTTGGTTTTCTCAGTCACTGTTTGGTTTTGGTATTTGACTCTGCTTGAGTGTATTATTGCCTGTTGACTAAATTATGTGCTTAAGGAGAAATTTAAACTGGATCCTGTCTTCTCGTTTAGTCGTTTGTCCTTTTGGTTTTAATTTTTAAACAAAGTGGCAGTAGCAGTTTAGCATTTACTTTTGTGCCTATTGATGCTTTTATCATCACTAAATCGGCTTTATGATGTATGAACATTCAGGTACGGCCGGAAGCTATCTAAGGACTGCAGCTATGGGCAATTTGTTCTGCTGTGTTCAAGTTGATCAGTCTACAGTGGCCATTAGAGAACAGTTCGGGAAGTTTGATGCTGTGCTTGAGCCAGGATGTCACTGCCTGCCTTGGTTTGCTGGGAAGCGTATAGCTGGCCATCTCACACTCAGGTTGCAGCAACTGGATGTGCGCTGTGAAACCAAGACAAAGGTTTGTCTCACTCTTAACTCTTTTTTTGTTTTTTATGGCAAACACTCTTAGTTAAAATAGATGCCTATCCTTCCTATCTTTGTTTTTCTAATGACAGTTAGCTGTTCTAATGGTGATAAGTTACGCACAACAATTTCCAATTTTGATACACTTTAAAAATCACTGTTACATAATATGCAGCAACTCTAATATACTATCTTATTTTTTCTCAAAAAAAAAACTATCTTATTTAACCGTTATTATTCACCTGTGGTTAAGTATTTGAAATGTCAGAGATTCACACATTGCCATTGATTATCATTATTTTAGTTTGATGAGTTTTTATGATGCTACTGGCATGTGAAGACCGAGCATTTTGGTGTCTGCAGGACAATGTGTTTGTCAATGTTGTGGCATCGATCCAGTACAGAGCTTTGGCTGGCAAGGCAAATGATGCTTTCTACAAGCTGAGCAACACAAGATCTCAGATCCAAGCTTATGTCTTCGATGGTATAATTTACTGGAACTAGTGGAATATTAGTCGTATTTATTTATTCTGTCGATTGGTATGTGATGCATATGAACACTGGTGTATCAAGTACCGAGGACTAACTTTTCTGGTGGTACAATTGGTATGGGCAGTGATCAGGGCAAGTGTTCCGAAGCTGAACCTGGACGACGCATTTGAGCAGAAGAACGACATAGCAAAGGCAGTGGAGGATGAGCTGGAGAAGGCTATGTCTGCTTACGGGTTTGAGATTGTTCAGACGCTCATCGTTGACATTGAGCCAGACGAGCACGTGAAGCGAGCGATGAATGAAATCAATGCAGGTAAGGCGGTTACACTGTAATCCTTAATTACACAAGATACACTGATGTACTATGTTGCACCAACTGAAACTGATGAGAATGAGATGAGATGATGTGCAGCTGCGAGGCTGAGGGTGGCTGCAAACGAGAAGGCAGAGGCAGAGAAGATCGTGCAGATAAAGAGGGCGGAGGGAGAAGCGGAAGCAAAGTACCTGTCGGGGCTGGGTATCGCGAGGCAGCGTCAGGCGATCGTGGATGGGTTGAGGGACAGCGTGCTGGGGTTCTCAGTGAACGTGCCGGGCACCACGGCCAAGGACGTGATGGACATGGTGCTCATCACCCAGTACTTCGACACCATGAAGGAGATCGGCGCCTCCTCAAAGGCCTCCTCCGTCTTCATCCCCCATGGCCCCGGCGCCGTCCGCGACATCGCCACGCAGATCCGCGACGGCCTTCTTCAGGGCCAGGCTACCACCACCTCCCATTAGCATCCATGTGGGACACCAGCTGTGGGATTGCTAAGCTGCTGTTTCTCTTGATTTGTCCTGTGTGATTAGATATGTCTTGTAATTTCTTCATGCTAGCTGTCCGACCGACGTGTGTGCGCGCGCGGGCAACATTTTCATTTTAGTTGTGAATGATATCCTATCGTGTATGTATGTGTGGAACTATGCCTTGTGAAAACTTTGTGAAATTTCAGCGTCAAACATGTAAATGTGCATGTAATCCGGTTCTCTGTATTGTATTACTTGTATGATATGCCGTCTCGAGTTGTGCATTTTCAGCTTGCATGCATGAGCCTCGCTATGGTACTTTCTACTTATAATAAAAAAAATCTCATTTGATCGAAGGGTTCGGATATATTTATACTACTATCTTAGTTAGCGGTAGTAAAAACGTGAAGAAACATTATTGTAAAAAAAAAGATGTGGAGGGGGTATAATCGTCATTTAGCAGTGACAACTTTTTTCCTTCTTCTCTGGCTTTTTCGATGGAATATAGTGATGCTAGCGCAATGGATAGCCATATATCAATCTAGCTAAAACCATAAACTACAAAAGTTACCCCTAATCACTATGTTAGTAAATTATTGATTCACCCTTAATAACAAATGGTTTGAATCATTTCTACTGGTAGTATAATACTATTAGTAAAGAGTAACGTCGCTATGCACATAGAGCCTCTTAGCTTAGGCTCCCCCACTAAGAAAGAAACAATTAGTAGGCCCAAGTAAAATTGTGGACCTGTTCATAACTATGACAACCCAAATAGTGAGCACAACTGTTTCCTGTATCGAGTGCTTCATCTCTCTTGGGTATCCTGATGAGTCTGTTTAATTGGGGAAGTTTCTGTATCCAAATTCTAAGAAGCTCTCTTGGGTATCCTGTTGGCCTTGATTGGGGAGTTTGTGTCAGATGCGGCTTCTCTTAGAATCAAAAGCTCACTCAAACAGTCTACTTTTTATCCAGATTATGAAAAGCCGTGGTTGTATAATCCCAAAAATGAAAAACCAAAAAGAAGAAACCTAACATTTTTAGATTTTCAAAAATTGGCTATCAACAAACTGCATATCTCCGCCCCATGGTTATTCTCTGTTTGGTTTTCAACCATTAGCAGCCGTAGCGGTCCTGGGATTCACATCCTCTGCCATAATGGCACTACCATTACAATCACTGATGTGTGGAGCAACAGAAAAATAGACCCACAGACCAATAGTTATAATGGTAGTGACATTATGGTAGAGAATACTCATTCGTGATCTTGATATGATATCAGCTGGCAATGTTAACTCAACGCTTCTAGGCCCTAGCTAGCTACACTTCGCCATCTCATCCATTAGTACCGTTTCATTCGCTCCATTAATTCATGGTCGAGGCATTGTGATGCGCGAGCTAGCAGCCTCATCATTTAACTTATTTGAGGAATAAATCAAACGAGATATTTATAAACAAAATAATTTGTGAATAGAACTTTTTTATACATATTTTTAATGATCTAAAAGCAGCTAAAAAAACAAACTACATTGAATAAAACCTCAAAATCAACTCTAAATTTAATGTTAAAAATTTAAATTTTGGCTAATAAACTAAAAAAAATAAGGCCGTAGGGCGCGGCTGACGATCGACGCCAGCGAACTTGGCAATGAAGCTGCTCCTCCACCACTGAGTAGAGAGAGAGTCCTCCATCGCAGTGGATGCACTGCAAGTGCAAGGCAGCCACCAGGGTCGAATTGATACAACCAAAAATGATAATCCAACATTTGAAGATTGTTCCAAACCGACTTAATTAAACAAGCAAACATCACTAAAACGGGAATTGTTGGCAGGCTAGCTCTACCACACACCAAGTTTTTCAAAGCCAACACCACCACCACAACAACACAAATAAATAGTATCGATCCATGAGCTAGCAAGCAAGCACGAACTTGCTTGATTTCCTCGATCCAGACTCCAGAGGTCTATCAGTATCAGATGATGATCAGGCCATGGCCCTGCGAGTGCCGTGGCGGAGCGGAGACGCATGCCCGCCGATCCCGCCATAGGGATACGGGGCCCCGTACGGCGACGACGCGCTGCTCCTCATCGGGCTCCGGCTTGGGCTTGGGTTTGCGCTGGGGCTCGGCGGCTGGGACTGGGAGTAGGAGTAGCTGGTGGTGGCATTGGCACGCTGATCCGTGTGCAGCGTCTCCAGTGTGTGCACCACCTCGCTCATCAGGGGCCTGTCCCTGGGATTCTGCCTGGTGCAAGAACGGGCCGTGCGGGCCAGGATTTGGGCTCCCGCCATGGAGAAGTTGGACCCGAGCCCGGGGTCTATCAGCCTGTGGATGCTCCTATCGTTGGCGTTGTTGTGAGCCCATTCAACCAGGTTCCGCTCCATTGCCTTCTTGCCTGATAACACCTTTAGTAGCACCACTCTGAAGCTGTATACGGTCGCTCATCGATGTTAAGTGACCTAATAGTAAAAAAACAATACAACCATGAGGAAACAAAACCTTTATATATGTGTTCTTAGCGATCAAAAAGCAAAGACTGAAAAATAAATTTCAATGAGAAAACTTTAAAATTAGCTTTAAATTTAAGGTTAAAAATTTAAACTTTGACTGATAAGTATAAGCATAAGAGAAAAGATGAGGTCAACAATTTCTATCTATCTTGGTTGGTATGTTACAATGGAGATCCATCATTCCAAATTTCCATTGCATATGCATATCTCTCTAAATATATACAGCTAGAGAAGACTAATCCAACTGATTGTAAAAAAAATGAATATGGTCATCTCACCTGTCAACACGTACTCAGGAGCTGCATATCCATATGTTCCTAACACTCGGGTGGACACATGGGCCATATCACCAACAGGACCATCTCTAGCAAACCCAAAGTCAGATAGTTTTGCGTTGAAATCCTGTATAGATAGATGAACCAATCAATATGATCAACATAATGCATGGTACAGCACAATTAAGGGTATGAACAATCAAGTGAGTATATATATGGCGCATGCAGAATTGAAACTAAAGCACATATATATACACACCTCATCAAGTAGAATGTTGGATGTTTTGAAATCCCGAAAGATAACAGGCATCTCTTGTTCATGGAGAAAAGCAAGTCCCTTTGCTGCACCTAGCACAATTTTCACCCTGAGAAACCATGGAAGTGGCGTGCGACCTGTTGAAAACACAGAGAATTACTACTCAACAAATCATGATCGTTAATCCAAGATTAAGCAGTAAATAATATTCTAGCACCGGAGATACTTACTCCTAATAAAGAGATGGTTCTCCAGGCTTCCACGGGACATAAACTCATAAACTAGCTGTCTCTGATCACCTTCCATACAGAAACCAATCAATTTCACCAGATGTGGGTGCTTTAGGTTTCTCAGATAATGGATTTCAGCCTGAGAAGAAAAAAAAATAGCTGATTTACTTGGCTTTCCTAAAAATATCTCGTAGCCTTGCTACCTTAGCAACATGTTTTTCTTTTCCTTTTCTTATATACTGTATATAACATATAGTCCCCCCTAATCAAAATATAAGTATTTTTAGAATAGTGACAAGTAAAATATTTTTAACTTTGACTATTAATAAAAAATAAAAAAAGATCAATCATATAAAATTGATATAAAATTGATGTTACTAGAATTATCATTAAATAAACTACCATAATATGTACTCCCTCCATTTCATATTATAAGATATTTTAGCATTGCCCACATCCATATATATGTTAATGAATCTAGACACATTCATATATAAATCTAGACACATATGTGTCTAGACAAATATTTATTTGTCTAGACACATGTCTAGACAAATATTTGTGTCTAGACAAATAAATATTTGTTGTCTAGATTTATATATGAATGTGTCTAGATTCATTAACATATATATGGATGTGGGCAATGCTAGAAAGTCTTATAATATGAAACGGAGGAAGTAATTCTTTTTATTTGCACCGTTTTGTGCGAGTCATTCAAAAAAATTAATTCTTTTTATTTAAAACATCTTACTTTTATAGATATTGTTAGTTAAAGTAGCATCTCGGAGACCATATCAGAGTCTAAAAATGCTCATATTTTGGGACGGAGGGAGTACTTGTATAGTTTTTCTCCCGCTCTATTCAATAAAAGTGGCACACTCTAATTAAGTGTCGATTCATTAAACAAATACTTGGCTGTCCTTAATATTCATAAATATATAATAATGGTAATTAAGTTAAGATGGAAAACATACCACCCATTCATCATGTCCTTGTAGCCCATCATAGTTGAGTGTCTTAACAGCAATAGGTATTCCAGTCCTAGGTTTTCCATGAGCAGTTTCATTCACCTGAATCCATCCTTTGTAGACACGCCCAAAACCTCCCACACCAAGAAAAGTCTCGGGCCGAAAGTATCCGGTGGCACGTTGAAGATCAGCATAAGTAAATTGTCTTAGTTGAAAGTCCGCAGCTACTAAAGATGGTGAAATACTCCCAGAGAATGCTTCTTCTGGCAGAAAAGGCTCTGCATCAATAAGCATAGGTATAGGTATAACAAGTATTGATCATAACATCACAACAATAGTTCAAAGAAATTTAGAATTGACTTTGACAAAATTTGAGTTGAGTTGTTGTCACTAAGTCCAATTCATGTAATGTAAAAATAAACAGATAGAGAATGTTCCCACATGCTATTTATTCTTAACACACATACACACACACAAACACAACACACACACACACACACACAATCACACACACACACACACACACACATACACTCTTGATACTATTCTCTAATTTAACGAATGGTATATAAGCATGCCACATGCACGTTACAATAACGGTATACTTACAAAACCTAACTACTTGGATATAATTCCAATACTTTCTTGTTCGCTACGGAACAAGCACGTGATCGTCTTTTATAGTCACACGAGGAGACCGTATAGTTATATACTTATATCCATATGAGGAATACAATCAAATGCCATTCTTAATATATTATGCTTATGATACTACTTTATAATTTAATGAATAGTATATAAGTACGCTGCATATTACCATAATGGTAAACTTACAAAACCTAACTACTTGAATAATAATTCATATACTTTCTTGTTCGCTATGAAAAAACCTAACTACTATGCATAACAATCCATATGCTTTCTTGTTCGCGACGGAATAGCCACGTGGTCGCTTTTATTGCATCGTTTGTTGGGATATAACCGCATAAGGAGATCATACAGTTATATCCCTACAAACAATGCAATCAAAGCAGGCCACGTGTCTAGC